TGACTACGAGGAGTGTGCCTTCGCGTTCTTCTCTCCGGTGGAGATGCCGGGAGAACCAGCAACTCTCAAGGAGGCTTTGGAGAGTAGTGATGCTGAGGAGTGGAAGAAGGCCATGGAGAGTGAGCTGAAGAGCATCGAGGAGAATGACACGTTTGAATTGGTGGAGCTACCGGAGGGGCGTACGGCGATAACGTCCAAGTGGCTCTTCAAAATCAAGTCGGATGCCGACGGCAAGATCGAGCGCTACAAGTCTAGGCTTGTAGCCAAGGGGTACCAGCAGAAGGAGAAGGTGGACTTCAAGGAGCTGTTTGCCCCTGTGGTGAAGCCGACGACGCTGCGAACCCTATTCGCGAGAGCCGCCATCAAAGGATGGGTAGTAAAGCAAATGGACATCCTAACGGCATTCCTTAACGGCATCCTTGAGGAGGAGATTTTTATGGCGCAGCCAGAGGGGTTTGATGATGGTAGTGGCAGAGTGTGGAAGCTGAAGAAGGCCCTCTATGGGCTGAAGCAGGCCCCTAGGCAATGGTACATGAAGCTGCGCGAAGTGTTGGAGGGGATCGGCTTCACTCCCTCAACGGCCGATCACTCCTTGTTCATGCTTGGCGAGGGGGAGCAGAGGAGTTTCATGGTGGTTTATGTGGATGACATCCTCATTTTCTCACCCTCTTCTGACCTTGTGAAGGAGGTGATGCTGAAGCTTCAAGACAAGTTCAAGTGCAAGGCCCTTGGTGACGTGAGCTTCTACCTTGGGCTCCACATCGAACGAGATGTGGAGAAGCGGTGCATGCGGGTGCATCAACGAAAGTACCTGGAGGCATTGGCTGCCAACTTTGGGCAGAGTGAAGGCCATGTGGCTACACCCTTTCCCTCTGGGTTCAAGTGTGTGAAGGGACTAGAGGAGGAGAGCGTTGGTGAAGAGGAGAGGCGCCGATTTCACTCGTTGGTGGGCAGCCTCATGTATGCGGCGGTAAACACCCGACCGGACGTCGCGTTTGCTACCGGGCAGCTGGCTAGGGTTGTGCAATGCCCTAATGAGGAGCAGGTAGCAGCTGGAATGAGGGTGGCCAAGTATCTTGGCCAAACACCGACCGTTGGGCTGCAATACTCGGCGGCGGCACAAAGGCGCCAAAAGGGCGCGGATGGTATTGAACCCGGGCGTTTGTTCCTCACCGCCTACTCGGATGCTTCATATGCATCAGAACCAGAGGACATGACAAGTGTGGGAGGCTTCATATGCTGTGTTGGTGGAGGCCCAACTGCTTGGGAGAGCAAGAAGCAGGTTGACCAAGCTTTGAGCTCGGTGGAGTCCGAGTACATGGCACTCTTCCGTGCCGTACGGGAGATTGTGTGGCAGCGGCGTTTGTTGGCTGAATTGGGGGAGGAGCAGCAAGGACCTACCCCACTGTACTGTGACAGCCAGGGTGCCATTGCTCTTGCTAAGAACCCTGTGTTGCATGGACTCACGAAGCACATGAGGGTGAAGTGGCATTGGACGAGGAGCATGGTAACCGCGGGTGAAGTTGAGTTGCGCTACGTGAAGACCACGGGGCAGCCGGCTGACATGATGACCAAGAGGCTGGTGGAGCAGCAGCATTGGAAGTGTTGCAAGCTGGCTGGGATGGCTCTGAACTGAGAGAGCAACATATCCTAAGGCCAACAATCCGAGGGGGAGTTTGTTGGTGCAACCCTACGGTTTGCACTCGGCTTGTTGTCCGTGTGCGTGAATGTGTGTGTGTATGGAATGGTATGAGGGCATGGGATAATATATATTTCATGCTTATAATTGTGTGTGAATGTTGAGTCATGATGTCGAGTGTGTGTGTCGAGTCAATAGCGAGTTATCGCTAGACGCGTGTTACGCGGTCGTTTGTGTCTCGCGCGCGGTTTCTATTTTGTCGTGCGCGGTTTCTATTTTGTCCTGTGTCGAACGTTCGGCGTGTCGCAGGTGTGTGCAGCAGACCCATCAAGAACTCAAGGATGAGTTTGTGATGAAGAGCCCGAGCCTTGGTGTCAAGCCTCAAGTGATTTCGAAGCTTGCCAAAAGGGTACACCTCAAGATATTGAAGATAGTTACATTACTTTGTGTAGTGTAACATTTCACTTGGTGTAGGCCCTAGTGAAGGGTAGTTTCGAGACCCTTCGTGGTTGGGGACAGTGTGGCACTGTTCCACATCACTGTACCTCGGCTCTTGGGGTTTGTAGGAGCTGGGAGTCATTCCCAACTCGTAACTCTTCCTATCTTGTGTTCTAAGACTATAGTGGCTGCCATAGTACCGTTCGTTCAAACCGACGCTGTGTCGTCAATTCTTTATCAAATCGTGCAATCTAAGTTGCTAATTGTAGACGACGTGAAGAAGCTCCAGATCCAATTTGAGTCAAGTCATTTGCAGCTGTGAGCAGAACGCTCTCAACGTTTGAAGCCGCTGTGCAGAAATCCGTCTGTGCTCTCTATCTTTCGTTTTAGGCACATTCAAGCCTATTGTGACTATAACAGCGATGTTCGGCTGCCACAGGGGATCGACCGAGGGATGGGGGGAGGGATCAGATTTGCAGCTAGGGTTTCTAGTTCGGGGTGGTCAGCTCGGAGTCAACCGTCGTTGACTCCAAGTCTGGAGTACAGGCGGAAGCGGAAAGTTTGGGGGAAAAGGCGCGGAGGAGCGACTCGGGAAATGGGGGCCCACGAAACTGCAGCCGCGCGAAACGAAACTTCGCGAGCTGAACAGTTTACTGCTGCGATCTGTTTGGGTAGCTTGCTCTACTTGAATTCTGTACACCATGAATTAATTCAAGGGTGTAAAGGACGATTCGACCTTATTTAATTTTGGCGAGTTCATTTCGAATCTTTGTGTTTAGCATTATAGTTTTAATGTCCGGGTTATTTGTTTTTTAGAGTGTGGAGTAAATGTATAAACGAAAATTGTGGAAGGGGGCATGGATTTTTCATTCCCCGTGGGCTGAGACCACCCACGGGAATGCACTTTCCATGCCCTGAACACTAGGGCGGAGTTTTTCCGCCATGGGGGGGAATCGGGGGGAGGACGCGGTGCGGGTTCAAGCCTAGCGCGGGGTTCGCGTCGCGTTTTAGGCTCACATCCGACACTTTTTTCACAAATTTTCATGTCTGACCGAAGTGTTCTGCCTGGTTCGAACAGATCGAACCAGGAGGCTCGGCGTTCTGATGCTCCATCCCATCCCCTCCCCCCATCCCCTGTGGCAGCCGAACATCGCCAAGCGTGGGTGTGTTGTTCTTGCTACTCGCAATGCTAGGTTGAAGTTTCAGGTTGGAGCCACGTCATCGACAGCTGAATCCAATTGCCCGTGGCTGGCGCGACCATCTAGCCAAACCCCGTTTTGCACAGACGCCAGCGCGCGTTCAGTTCAGAGCAGGCCTGTCGCTTGCTCTAAACCCAACCCTTACGAAGTTGAGCTGGCCCAAAACCAGCCCGGAAGCATCCGGGTAGGGGCTGATTTTGGCCCGTAAGAATCAGGGCTGGCCAGTAAGAATCAGGGCTGACTTCAGGCCTAGTGTATTTGCAGCCAGCAACATACATGCTTACAAGAACTATGAAGTTTCAACTAAATGTGTTTGAGGCGGATTCGCGGATAAGGGGTCAAGAAACTCCAAGGGGAAGCTAGTTCGGGAAAGGAGGGAGGGGGGGGGGGGGGGGGGGGGGGGGGGTGGAGAAGGGGGGGGGACATACACGGAAATCCGGGCAAGGCCCAAAACCAGTCCGTTAGGGTCCGGCCAAGGGCAAAACCAGTCCGTTTTCCTTACGGGCTTCCTCGCAAACTAACCCTTAAAATCTCTGAGGTGCGTCAAACCCAGCCCTGAATTCTCAGGACAAACGGGCAAATGCCCGTGAATCGACAGGCCTGGTTCAGAGTGCCCAGCATCATCCAGACGATCGACGGTCGACATTCGTTCTGTAGTTTGCGTCGTGTCGACAGACATCGAGGCGCATGTCCGATGTCCACCCACTCTCTTGGCCGACATTGGCGGCGTGGCGCTAGGCAGGTGCAAACCCTGCGATGCGGTGTAATGGGCCCAAGGTTGCGCCCTAGCGATTGAGCCCAAGCTGCGATGAAGATAAATGGTTCAGTACAGTTGCGAGTATCTCAGAAACAAAGGTTTCAGCTTACTAGCTCGTGTCTCGACTTTGGTTCAAGAATAGCTGCTCCTAGCACGAGTGCGGAGCATTGTTGCTATCCGAGTTTCTTGTCTACAAATACTATCTTCAGTCACCTAGTACTAGTAGTAGTACCGGCTAAAGGATGGGTTTCGACAGGGAATCAATTACAGCACGCCAGCACGCGGCTTCCCTCCTCGTTTCATTGCTAGTCATTGGGATAATCTGCGGTTCCGCGACTATCGGGGCGTCGGAACTGAAGAATGCCATCAACAGGGCAAACCAGGTACTACTAATACTAAGATAGTACTAGTTTCACATCGATAGCCTCACAGATACAGTCGTGCAGCTATTAGTATAGGCATATTAGTAGTACTATCATCAAGCGGAGCGAGGAAAACTGGAAAATGACATCAGCAAGGCGAGCTCGGGGTTACAATTTTTCCAATACGCTAGTCATTCTGGAGCTCCGAATCGCGCGTACAAGCCCGTATGACGCGGTGTCGGTTACCCGTTGGGATGGGTTGGGGCCCCTCGTGATTTATTAGAGAATTCCTCACTAGGAGATCTTTATCAGGAGCTGAGCTTCATGCGAGGGATTCGGATTTTTCAATATTCTAGCGACGCCGTAGTATGCCGCACAGTTTTCCTGCTAGCACAGTAGCTAGCTGGTTTTGGAGTTTTTTAACCAAATGTAAAACGCATGAGAGAGTTTCAGGAATTTAAGACCATCCACCCTCTACGTGTGTGTGTTTGTTTGTGTCCACGTGGCGTGAATTCAGAGAGGAGCACGCGCGTCCCCCTTAGAGCTCGTTCTCACATCTAACGTGCACCTCACAGCGTAAGTTCTTCACGAATCCACGTCTGCACATGCCGCGTCTATCTGCGTTTGCCACCTCATGCCAGTTTGTTAGGTACCGACCATGGACATGCCTCCATCAAGTAAGCCTTACCGTCTGTAATATGATTTTCCTCATTTCGAGCCCACTCTTTCTATCCTTGCTACTCCCCTCCCCACAATCTCTTTCCCCCCTCTTTCCTCTAGCTTCCCCCCTCCCCCTCCTCCCAACCAACCTACCACCCTTTCCTTTTCCCCTTTCCTCCCCCTCTCCTCCCCCAGCCCCCTCCACGCACTCTCCAGCGCGGCCAAGCTGACCATAATTGGCAAATGTATGGCCACCAGGTTTCTAACTGGGTTACCAAGACGTAGTAGTGTCACTTGGGAATGGTCGGTTTAGTGGGTCAGGGCGGTGGTCTGGGCCCCACTTTGGCTGTTACAGTCACAAGTGGGTACATTTGCTTTCACAGCCAGTGGCAGTTCTAATAGGGTTGCCAGGCAGGTTTCAGGGTTACCAGCTGGGGTACAGTGGAAGTCCAATCATCTTCTTGCACCACTTACCCCCAACTCCCCAACGCCAGGTGCATCATCAGCGGGGAAGGCGCCTTCCCCATATTCACCTCCCCCTCGTCCAACCCCCCTGGGGGGTTGTTGACTCTGTTCAACCTTAAATTCCAGCGGGCGGGAGGAGGCGTCTTTTTCAACGTGCAGACAGCGATCAACGCGAGCAAATGCGGATTCGTCATGAACATGGCTCCTAGCGGAGGGGTGCTCAGGTATGGGATTGAAATGTTGGGGGGGGAGATGTTAAAGTGAGGAGGGTGCTCTATTGAGGGACATGGAGGGAAGATGAGGGAGCAAGAGGGCCGCTCAGGTGAGAGTGCGTGTGCTGCATGTGAGAGTGTGCGTGGCGCTTATGAGATTGCGTGTGGTGGATGTGAGAGTGGGTGTGGTGGATGTGAGAGTGTGTGTGGTGCGTGCGAGAATGTGTGTGGTGCATGTGAGTGTGTGTGGGACCTGGAAGCATGCTACATCTACTATCAGCATGCTTGAGTATTCTTTGAGTCGTCTTGAGTTATTCTGGTCTTTTCTCATGCTGCACTTCACACGGAAACTTGTCGGGGAAGTTTTGAATGATGGGCCCCCAATACCCTAACACCTCCCCGACCTCCCCTTACATCCTCCTGTAACATTTCCCCAACCCACCAGCAACCCCTTCTCGGGACTACATATCACTCCCCTGCTTCCCTCTTTGCACCTTGTACAGCAGCACACCTCATTCAATTAACACGCTCTCCTCTACCCCCTACCCACCTATCCCACCAGAGACTCCTTCCCTGCAACAGCCACCCCTCCCAACCGCCTCTTCTCAGGCTGCACCTTCCGCAACAACACGGCGTCAACCGGAAGGGATGGCGCAATCAGCATCAACGCAGAGAACCCCAAGGGAAGCGTGCCTGCTCTGTTGATTGAGGGCTGCACCTTCCAGGGAAACAGAGCACTCAACGGCCGCGGAGGAGCGATTTCAGTGTCGGGGACTGGCAGCATTCGTATCAAGGGGTGTTGGTTTGAAAATAACAACGCTGGTGGATGTGTGACCGTTTGTGAGGATGTGTGCCCGTTTGTGAGGAGGTGTGCCCGTTTGTGAGGATGTGTGCCCGTTTGTGAGGATGTATGCCCGTTTGTGAGGAGGTGTGCCCGTTTGTGAGGAGGTGTGCCCGTTTGTGAGGAGGTGTGCCCGTTTGTGAGGAGGTGTGCCCGTTTGTGAGGAGGTGTGCCCGTTTGTGAGGAGGTGTGCCCGTTTGTGAGGAGGTGTGCCCGTTTGTGAGGAGGTGTGCCCGTTTGTGAGGAGGTGTGCCCGTTTGTGAGGAGGTGTGCCCGTTTGTGAGGAGGTGTGCCCGTTTGTGAGGAGGTGTGCCTGTTTGTGAGGAGGTGTGCCCGTTTGTGAGGAGGTGTGCGCGTCTGTGAGAAGGTGTGCCTGTCTGTGAGGAGGTGTGCCCGTCTGTGAGGAGGTGTGCCCGTCTGTGTGGAGGTGTGCCCTTCTGTGTGGAGGTGTGCCCGTCTGTGAGGATGTGTGCCCGTCTGTGAGGAGGTGTGCCCGTCTGTGTGGAGGTGTGACCGTCTGTGTGGAGGTGTGCCCGTCTGTGTGGAGGTGTGCCCGTCTGTGTGGAGGTGTGCCCGTCTGTGTGGAGGTCTGCCCGTCTGTGTGGAGGTGTGCCCGTCTGTGTGGAGGTGTGCCCGTCTGTGAGGAGGTGTGCTCGTCTGTGTGGAGGTGTGCCTGTCTGTGTGGAGGTGTGCCCGTCTGTGTGGAGGTGTGCCCGTCTGTGTGGAGGTGTGCCCGTCTGTGTGGAGGTGTGCCCGTCTTTGTGGAGGTGTGCCTATCTGTGTGGAGGTGTGCCCGTCTGTGTGGAGGTGTGCCCGTCTGTGTGGAGGTGTGCCCGTTTGTGAGGAGGTGTGCCCGTTTGTGAGGAGGTGTGCCCGTCTGTGAGGAGGTGTGCCCGTCTGTGAGGAGGTGTGCCCGTTTGTGTGGAGGTGTGCCCGTCTGTGTGGAGGTGTGCCCGTCTGTGAGGAGGTGTGCCCGTCTGTGAGGAGGTGTGCCCGTCTGTGTGGAGGTGTGACCGTCTGTGTGGAGGTGTGCCCGTCTGTGTGGAGGTGTGCCCGTCTGTGTGGAGGTGTGCCCGTCTGTGTGTGTGTGTGTGTGTGTATGTGTGTGTGTGTGTGTGTGTGTGTGTGTGTGTGTGTGTGTGTGTGTGTGTGTGTGTGTGTATGTGTGTGTGTGTATGTGTGTGTGTGTATGTATATGTGTGTGTGTGTGTGTGTGTGTGAGTGATATATGAAGACCACTCTCCTTGACAACAATGAAGATGCACTCAATAGCTGATGTGAAGGGATCCTTGGCAAGTGTATGCCATAAATAGCTGCTGTGATGTAGATCCAGTCCCCCCACCTTGTGGGCGTGTAAAGATTTGTCCATGTTGTTTGTCATTTATATTTGTTTCTGTGTGTATCTCCCATTCCTTAGCGCATTCTGTGTGTGTCCTCATGATGAGCATCATGGTGTTTCAAAACTATACTGAATAAATTCAGTAACTTCTTTAGTTTTCAGCACACGCGAAATTGTAATTTCTGCAACGGGAGGTGTCCCTTAGAATTATATTTGTGGAAGCGCAGCTGATGCTTTCTTCTCCAGCCGGAATCAAAATCCCACCCTTAGGGGGTGTTTAGAAACTTCATTCAAATGTGACTCGATGTAGCTAAATACCATCGCTGTCCTTGTATATTTTATTTAGAATGTTTTGTTAGGGTGTTCTGCGAGCTCGTGCCAGATCCGCCATAGCGGGTGTATAACTCACCTCATCTGCCATGGCAAGTTTGCACTGCTCATAACAAAAACACAAATTCAGGACAGCCGTGACAAGCGTGAGTTGTTGTTGCTGCGACTCGGAATGCCAGGGGAGGTTTCAGGTGGGAGCCACGTCAGCTGCATACAATGCCCGTGGCTGGCGCGACCATCCAGCCAATCCCCGTTTTGCACGGACGTGAGCGCGTGTCCATGTGAGAAAGAAAATATTCTTCGGAAGACCCAGCATCATCCGTAGGATTTGATTCAGCGAGTTGACGATCGACGTCCGTCCGTAGCTTATGTCTTCTCGACTCGACAGACATCGGGGCGCATGTCCGATGCATCCTCTCCTGTTGCAGTGAACTGTGGCTGCTGCTCGCGTGGCACCAGGGTGGCGGGAAATTTTTCACGTGGCGAAATTTTTCGCCGCAATTTCCCCGTCAGCCAAAATCCGAATATGCAAAAGGCATCTTGCAAAAATGCCCACTCGCCACCACACCCTTCCTATCTCCAGACAGCAAAACCTACCAATCAAAACCTATCAATCCTCCACCTCAACTCTCCTCCTATCCTCATCATCTTTCTCATCCCATTATCCACCAATCAAACAAAAGATTCCATACCAAGCCTTCCAATCCAAGCCACATTCATTCCACTCACCAAGCCTTAAAATCAAAGCCAAATACATCCCATTCACCAAGCCTTAACTTCAAGGCCACATTCATTCTCTTCACCAAGCCTTCACTTCAAGGCCACATTCATCACCCCCATCTTATCCAACTCAACCAATCACAACCATTCATCCTTTCCTCATCCTTCATCCAACATCAAGCTCCACCAAATACAAAAGGGTCCTCTTCATTTCTTCAAACTCATATTCTTCAATGCTACTTCATACCCAAACTCTCAACAAGTTCTTCAAGCTCCCTCAAGGCCAACCTCAAGTCCTCCTCCTTATGCTCCAACTCCTAAGGCTTCATCATCACCACCAACCTCTCCCAACCCAAGCTCATAGCCATATGCTCCAATTCTAGAGAAGTTTGTGCCACATAGTTTTACTTCTAGATCATCAAGGATAGTTGATCACAAGATCCTACCATGTACCTCCCTTTTGATTAATGTACTTTAAAGCTTCAAGCAAGATTGGTGTATTCTTCTACCCAAGGTCCAAGCTCCAACCTCAACATCCAAGCTTGGAGGTTTCTCTTCATTCAACAAACATTATCTACAATTCAACATTCAAGATCAACTTCTCAACATTCAAGCTTTGAGGTTCTTCATTAACAACTAAGACAACATTTAAGCTTGAAGTGAAGATCAACTTCTACAACATAATAGTAAGAACTCTTTTCAAGTAAGTGGTTATCTCTTCCTCTAATTTTTCACCAAGTTTCTTTTACATCAAAGTTCATTTGCTATTATCATGTTGTTTTATATTCAAGCTCTTTCCATAATAATCAAGTTCTTATTCTCAAGTTCGTTACAAGCTCCTTTCAAGTATCTTTCAAGCCCTTTACCTTTTCTTCAATACTTTCTTTTAAGCCAATCTTGTTTGGTCCCTTTTATCCCTATCAAGTCTATCTATCTTCTCCTTCAAAGCTTTCTTCATTCTTAATTACTCCATACTTCAAGATTTCCTTTCAACTTGTTTTTGCTTTTCAACTTGGTTTTACTTTGATCTTACCTTTTCTTTCTAGGTGTTTTCTTTCTTTCTCCTTACCATTTACCCTCCCTCGTCTATAACTTCAATTTCAAGATCTCCGACATTCGCGGCGTGGCGCCTGGCAAGCATGAGTGCAAGCCCTGCGATGCGGAATGAACCCAAAGCGGCGCCTGGCAATTGTGCCCTACCGCTGATTGAGCATCATGGTTCAGTTTGCGGAAGGTTCAGATGCGCGTGAGTAGTATCTTGCAGTCCAGGCTCTCGGTAAAACAAGATTTTGCACATTTGCTCCTTAGTTCTTACTTATTTCTCAAGCACTGATAGCTTCTCCCAGAGCATTATCGAACTGCGACGCCTTGCCGCGGCTCACGAGAGTTGCTTTTCTAGGTAGTATCTTTCAGTCAAAACTATCCCAAGTTGGTTCTAACGCCAGTCGTCAGGCTCAGGATGGTTCGTGCTAGGGAACCAATCACAGCACGCCATGTCACGTCCCTCCTCGTCGCTTCGATAGTCATCAAAATCATCTGTGGTCCCGCGACTATCGCGGCGTTGACACTGGGAAAAGCCATACTCAAGGCGAACGAGGTACTGGGCATGACATATTAGTACTATGATGTGAACCACATAAATAGGCTATGTGGTTCAATCAGGGGCCGCGTGCTCGGAGCAACAACTCTGAAGCTTGCGTTTTGTACTACAAGCTCGCGTTTTGTACTAGCTCGCGTTTTGTTCTACAAGCTTGCGTCTAGTACTAGTACTACCTCTATCCGCGCATGACTTCCTTTTTCAGTGTGTGCGCGGAAGGAAACATGTTCTAGAAAAAGTGGCTTCGGGCCAAACTCACCTCCGACGTGTTAGGGTTGGTTCGCCCAACCACGGAACCTAAGGCGAAAGCATCTACGACGGCGTAATGACGGCGAAATGGAAGCACGTGTGTGAAACGGTGGAAATCGGCCTACGGTGGGGAATAGAGGCTACGGCGTGAGAAGCGGGAGAGAAATCGAGAAGAAATGTGCTAGAAGGAGGGAGAGAGAAGGAGAAGCATCGAGAATGAGATTGACGAGGGGAAAAATGTGCTTCGAGACCAAGGCGCGTTCGAGAAAGTTCGGGATTCGGTCTTGAGGAGTGTTCACCGAATTCGGTTCGGTTGCGTGTGCGACTCGGGGTGAAACGAGGCGCACGCGGTTACTTGGGAAACAAGTGAAGTTACGAATCGCATTTTGTGTCTTGCTTGACTATAAACCTGTTTGTACTCATTCTGGAAATACAACATTGATACCAATCAGATTCTGAAAATTGCTGAAGTGTGTATTGACAACTTATAGCAGAGCTGCACATATCATTGGATTCGGGAGATCGTGGAGAACACGATAGGCGATAGCAAGTAGACTATTGCCGACTAAGGTGCTTACGATCTTGAGAACTGGTATCAGAGCTGGTTTAAGTGGCGTTTAAGCATTCTTAAGTGCAGAGCGAAGCTTTCGAGATGGTCGGCGGACAATCGGAAGCTAGTTCGGGCTCCTCTGTGAGTATTGGAGATCCCCAAGTGAAGGCACTTCTGGAAATGCTAGCGCAAGGAGGGGTGGTGACAAAGCCCACCATGGGGCTCAGTGAAGCCCAACGATTCCACGGCCAACACTACAGCACGTGGAGATTGAAGTTCATAAGGAGGGCAAAGGAAGTCGGTTTTTGGGAGTACTACCGACCGGATGGAGAAGGTGACGCAGCCGCGCGTAAGGCGAGATCGGATGAAGAAAAGGCGGAATACAAGAGGAGGAGTAAGCATGCGTTTTTTCAGTTATTTCATTCCGTTGCTGACGGAATTGCAGTGGGTCTTGATGGTTTTGCAGAGCTTGAGAACTCTGCACAAGCGGCATGGGCGTACATGGAGTCTACATACCTCGGGCACATGGACGCGAATATCGCCGATGTGAGGAAGAAGTTTCTGCTGATGACTATGGAGCCGAACCAGAAGATTATTGACTATGTCAACATGGCAAGGAGCTACAATGATGACTTGACTGCGATGGGCGAGCCGGAAACTGAAAGGGCGATGATAGGGCACATCGTCAACGGGCTACCTGAAGATTGGTCGGGTGAGCGGCCGGCGTTGATCTGCCACCCACCGGAGAATATGACGAAGCTTATTGCCATGCTTCAGGCGTTGGAGCGAGCAAGAGAGCATCAGAAGCGACGGGAGAAGTTTACAAGGGGCTTTGTGGAGGAGAAGCCTGCGTTGGTGAATGCGGCAGCTGCTGGAAGGAGCTCGGGAGCGTGCTACCAGTGTGGACAACTCGGGCATCGTGCGTTTGAGTGTGTGGAGAACCCGAGGAGTAGAAACTACAAAGGGAACGGTGCGGGATGGAGTGGTGGACAGCAACACGGAAGGTTCAATGGTGCGTGCCATCACTGCAAGAAAATTGGGCATCGTGCAATTGATTG